TTTTTTTTCTCTTGTACTTCAGAGGTTGTCCTAACTACACACAAAAAAAATAACCAAACAACCAACAAACCAAATCACTACTGAATTGTAGCCAGTGCAATAATAAGTTCTTCATTCTTGTCTGTACAACTGTCCTGTTGCCTTTCTAATTATTTTTTTTTTCTTTTTTAAACTGAAATTCAGGTTAAACGTCGCAATAATCTGAACTAATGTGCACAAACAAGGTTTCTTGTTTACAAAGAAGGAAAGAAGAAAAAGAAAAAAAAAAAAAGACAAAAAAAGGAAAAAGCTAAATTTACAGAGAGATTTAAAAAATAATGCAAAACAAATAAATAGTAAATTATTTAAGAAATGTATTTTGTTTACTGCAGTTCAAAGTAAATTATTGATACCGTGTGTAAAGGTATAAAGAGCTGTCTTAGGTGATGTTCTTTGTGAGCAGTTAAGCTACGGATGTGTCTCCTCAGAGCAGAAGCCTTCAGACCCTCGGGGGGCAGCTGTAACCCCCCCATTTGCCCTCTTTCTGTCAGTCTTCCCCCCCAACACATGGACACCCTCACCCCAATCCCCAAGGCCCTTCTGTCACCTGCTCCAACTGCAAAGCCTCTAGAGGAATCCAGGTCACCACTTCTTCAGTTGTTATTTTTTACAGTTTTGGGGTTGATTTTTCTGTCTTAGCCTCTGGTCCCTGTCCCCTCCCCACCCCTCATCCAGGCCCTCTCACCGTGGGACAGTTTCACCATGACAAGCTGATGCTAAACCAGAGCAGCACGGAGGTTGCACCGGCAGGAGGTCACACAGGAGGGGGAGGAGGGGAAAGAGAAAAAAAAAACAACAACAAAAAAGAAAATTCAAACAATTGGGTTTGTTTGGTTCGTTCCATGCCACCTCATAGTTATGCATTCACATATACCTTCTGTTATTTATGCATTCATTACTCAAAAGGAAATGTATCTTCTTTCACATGTATTAAACTGTATAAACTGGAAGCGTGGCCTGACTTTGTGCCGCAGGGTGGGGCGTAGCTGGGACACCGAGCCCTGCTCCAGCACCTCGTGTCCCACAGGTCTCCATCCCACCCCCGGAGCTCGGCATCCCTTGAAACTTCTTTCCTAAATGTGGCCAAACTACTCCCTTCCCTGCTGGTGGTTGGAGCTGGTCCCACCTGCTCGGCTCCAAAGGTTCCTCACCTTGCACAAGAGGCTCCGTAAGTCGAGCGGTTCCGCTGAGCAGCTGCACTGCAGGGAGTGAGTCACTGGGCTCTTGGAAATACTCTGTCTCAGTGGGATAACAAGGAATTCCAGAAACGTGCCATGGATGGAATCATTAATAGAGCTTTGGGAGACAACGGCAAACTCTTTGGTTGTAGTTTAACCCACGAATTGGAAAGGAGGAGAGGAAAAGTCCCTTGTGCTGGGCTGAGTCCTGCCAGGAGGTGTGTGGGACACCCCACTGTGTCCCCTTCTTGGCACTGCTCCTGGTGGGACTTCCTGTGATGATCCAGTTTTGCTGGGCAAGGAACATCCCCTGTGCCCAAAGCCCATCCCTGTGCCCCAGAGCTGGAAGAGAAGCCTGTGGCCCTGGAGTGGCGTGGTGAGTGATGGCAACAGCCTGCACAGTGACAGAGCAGTGGTTTGTGGACCCAAGATTTTACTGAGGCCACAGCAGCATGTCAGGAATGAGATTTGCTTCTGCAGTCTCTGAC